GTTCTTGAGCTATTTGTTGTTGAAGTTGTTCTTGTAATACAATACTTTCACCAGTTGCATCTTCCAATTCGAAACTTTCTGCCGTCATTGACAAATGCATAGGACATAAAAGTTTTACAGGAACAAAGTTTGCGTCAACTAATGTCAACGTTATACTTGCCAAAGTGTTTGAGTTCACTAAGGTTGAAAATTCTGCATTCGAATGAACAATAGGCAAACCAGCAGAGAAAGTATTGTTTATACGCATAAGTATCTTTTGGTCATAGTAGTTTCTGTCGACATTCGAATAACACTTTGAACCTAAGTTTGAAACAATAATAATTGGTGTGCTTAATGTCAATGGAATAGACATTCCTTGTATGACACCTTTTCCTGTTATAGGAAACTGTTGGTAGTAAAAACCAGAAATACGTTTTGTATTATAGCTCATATCGTTTATTGTAAACTCAGTCGGACATCCAAACATAATGAAACCTGCTCTAGTTGCAGCACATGTTACACCCGTACTTAAAGTATTAAATAAGTCAACAAAACCTGTTGGTGGTATATCTGAGTAAGTATCTTCAAAGGAGTATTTTTACCATTCACAACATAAAGTCTTCTGGTGTCAAAAGAGCAAAACAGGCTTTAGTCGTCATTGTGTTTAAGGTTAGTATACAATATCGTCCTTGAGGACTTTGTAAGTTTGTTGTTATAGAATTATATGACTCAGGGTTTTTAGTCGTAATAGTATAAACCATTATGTCTTCTGCCATTTACTTAGCAAATAAACTTTAATGAAATGTTGTGGTCGTCAAAGATTTTTATAACGTCTGGGAAACTATATTTTAAGTTCAACGTTTCACCTCCTTTCATAACGTATATCTTGTCAATGACATTATATGAAACACCACAGCAACCAATGTCGGGTTCTATTTCTTTGATGTTTATATCGTCTGCCTCTGTCAAAAGTTTCAATAGTTCTTTCAAAACTTCATGAGGTGCAATGACATATGAGTTCACTTTTACAGGGTTGTGTTCGACCAAGTTTAACATTATACTTAAAGCTTGACAAATCTTCTCCTGAGTTTGAAGTTTGTCTTTCAGTTGTTGGTAGTCGTTTCGAATATCTGCAACAGAACTTAAGTCTCTGCTAACTTCAGGGTATGTTGGTTCTTTTACAGGAACAATTGTTATACCATCTTCGTCTTCGTATGGTTTCCCCACTTCAACATCTCTGTCTTTGACATTGACAACAACACTTTGACTGTTTGTTTGAGTTGGTGAATTTAACTTCACATCTGCCACCGCCATTAAACCTTTTGAAACACTTACGCTTCTATTTTTCGGAAATGACATTTTACTTAGAATAAAAAGATGGACGTATTCGGATATCTTATTGAATTGAAGCAGAACAAAGTTTATACTCACAAACAATACAAATACATTGACAGAATAGTTCTTTACACAACAATGGAAAATGTTATAGAATAGCAGTCTTTGCTGAACCTAAATATTTTCATAAAGCAAAGAAAGTTGGTATAACTGAAATGGTGAAAGTTCTTGAAGCAGACAAAAAATAACTTCAAAACTTACAGATATTACTAAAGGAAAGTTTATAATACAATATTATGTCAAAACTGGCGTACTGTCAATATTTGACGGAGAGAAGTCAGTTCAAGAACAACTTACTGACCTGCTGCCAAAATCTGCTCGATGGAAGCTGTCGTTATGCCAATCTGAGGAGCTCCAGCAGGTTTCATCGAACGAATCTTCAAAAGAGCATCTTCCGTGAAAAGTGCTATTGGTTTTGTAAACTTCTTTGCTCTCAATTCATCTGGACCGTCTCTGTCACCAGTATATTGTATTTGAACTGTACCAACAGTTGAAATACCACCCATAAAGTCTTCTGAGTCAGCAAATGGAATGCCAAGCCAAAAGTTTGAACGGTCTCCATTTGTATATTGAGTTTTTTGACCTCCTGTATGAGTCCATACTTTCACATATGGCATAATAGAACTTTGCATTTCAGGGTTAATAGTTGTTGTGAAGTTGTTGTTAAAGTTCATAGCATCTAATGTCAAGTTGTATGACCTCATATCCTCAACTGTAGAATATTCTTCTCTTGGATAATATTTGCCATCTATGTTTATATGATATTTAATACCAGGGTTGTAGAAACAAGAATAGTCATTTATAGTTCGTCTGAACAGTACAAACATAGTATCTGCATGTTTCATTGCAGTTGTTAAAGCAATATCTGTTCTTGCACCTGGGTCAGCACTTTGGTTTCCAACTTCACCTGCAAAGTCTTTGACAGATATTTGGTGTATAGGGAACATAAGTGGAACTGCAATATATTTGGCAGCTAAAGCATTTGAAATATCTGGGTCCAACATATAGACTGCAAGTCTGCTTTCTATTCTCTTGCATTCAAATTTTTCGCATGTGAACTTAACTGGGTCCCAAGCATCTCCAGCAGCATTGAAATAATAGTTTACTTCAGTGTTGAGGTTTGAGAAACCAAAGTCTAAGTCAACTTTGTCTTTGCAAAATTCGGCGAATGACGTTTTATTTGTTCCCTTTACGTCTGTAAGAGTGAATGGGTCTTGTGTTGGTGCAATGACTAAGTTATTTTTGCTTGGAGTAAGTTCGATAGAAATTTTTCCTGCCCAGTTTGGCAAGTATCTTAAAAACCTGAAGATGAGGAAAGATGACAAAGGAACTCTAAGTTTCAGTTTTACTTTGGTTACTGCTGCTGCAGTTTGTCCAGAAAGGTCAACATAAACTCCTGGAACGTTAGGGTCAAGTCTTCTTATTTTCTCAATAGTTGCATATTGGTCTGTTTGTTCTCTAGCTTGTGGTTGTACTGAGTTTCTCAAAGCGAACCATTCATAGTTTGCCCATGTTACTGTTTGAACTAAGTCAGAGTTAGAATATATCTTATATCCCATGAAAACTTCTGGAGCATATTGGTATCCGACATAGAAAATTCCATTGCAACCTTTCTTGTCAGACAACTTGGCAGAAGGTTTTATTTCAATGTCTTGTTCCACGTATAAGAATGAGTTGTCAATAGAAATAATATGAAACCTGTCGCAAGCAATATCTACTGTTGTTGAAGAACCTTCTCCAACTCACCTACGTTTCCATAAGAAACAGCAGTTGTATATTCGTAAGTTCCAGGAACTATTTCTGACCTTCTAATGGCATTGTCGCATTCGTTATACCATTCGGAAACATTTCCGTTCATGGCATCCAAAACTGTTGGCGTTATATTCTGCGCGGCGTACATTTCATATGGGTAAAAATATAGAATAGTTGGATTTATATGTCATAATAGAACCCACTCGTACCAAGCTTTACTTTCTTCCTGACTGAGTTTTTAACTCTTCTTTTTCCTTCATTGCCACTACTTTCACTAGATGAAGTTACTTCTTCACTACTTTCACTTTGTTCTACTCTTCTCTTCTTCTTTGGTGTCGCTTTTGGTAACTTGCCCTCTGCTTCAAGTTGTTGCATCTTTGCCTCATGTTCACCTAGTATGTTGTAAATTTCCCATGTCCTTTTTGCCTTTGGGCTCTGGTCGCCCATCTCAGGTAACCTATATCCTAGAAAGATTTTGTCATAGTTTGTATTTGAGTCTTCGCGTATTGTTTGCATGACTCTTTCCTGAGTTTCCGGTTCAAGCTCTTCAAACAGAGCTTGTCCATATGGAATAAGCTCGTTTCCAAATATATGTTTTTGTAGCCATTCTGGTTTTCTTTCCATGTTACCAATAATATCTTTTGTGAATGGGAAAGCTTTTACCCAATGTTTCAGTCTTGCGTCATTTATTTCTGTAGTTGGTTTTATTTTGTCAAGGAACATGTTTTTCAATACTAACATTTCATTTGGTACTGTCCATTTGAGTTTTCTTAAATATTCATCCATTCTCGGTTCATTGTCTGCAAAGTAAGTTTTTATGACATTTTGCAAACTTTCGTTTGCAAGGTCATGTACAATAGGTTCTCTTCCTTCTCTCTCCCTAACTTGCTTTCTAAACTCTTCACCAAATATACCATCTCTATGGTTCTGTGTAGTTCTTTGAGATAAATGTTCTAGAACGTCAGGTGTTATATTTCCCTCAGCCATGTTCATTTCATACTGGTCCAAAATATCTGCATCTTTCATATCTTTCAATGGCATTAAAGCCGCGCTGAAAATACCAGCTATATCTGGTTCACCATTCACTTCCATTGCGTCTACAACTTCTTGGAATTGAGGTTGTAAGTTTATGAACCACCTATCCGGATTAGCTTTATGACCCCATCTCATTGTAGTTCCATAGTCTGCAGAAACAAAAGTAGGTTTGTTTCCATATTGGCTAGGTTCTGAATGAACTTTAAACAATGTTTCATTTCTATATGTTTTGTTGAAATTTAACCTTTTATTTTCACCGAGTTCAGCCAAAGATTGAACGTTATATGGTCGTAAGTAAAAAGAATTATTGTATTTGCGTACATTTTCTTTCAGTACTTCCATTCTATGCTGAATATGTTCATCTGATGTTGGAGTCTTTTGTATGTCGGTGAACATTTTTCGATATTCTTCTACTCTGTCAGCCGAATTTTTCTTAGACTCTTGGAAAGATTCCATATTCACCTCATAGTCTTGTTGAGGGTCAAGATTTTTCGGCTGTTCCAAATCTTCATCTAGTTCTGTGAAGTTAGTTTCCAAAGGAGGAACTTGTTCGTTTCCTTCAGGCTCTTCTAGCTGTTGTTGCTGAACTATTTCTTCCATGTCTGGTTGTATCTGAACTTCTTCCTGTTGAGTTTCTTGTACCTCATCTGCTGGCATTTCATATATTCCGAGACCGTTTTTAAAAAGTTCCCTATCTAAGTCATCCGGACTCATAAACCTTTCTTCTTTCGTTCCGTCTCTATTTTTTACGCGTTTCATGAAGAGAGTTGAATTATCATTTAGCTCTGACATCAAATATCTCGGAGTAAATTCATCCATGTCATTTGGATGATATGCTATTAAATCATATCCCTTAGCGAGCTTGTATTTTCCAGGTTTGAAATTATATCCCATTTGGTGCTGAACCATAAAGCTAAATAGGTTCGGGTCAGTATTTCCTTCCTTGAACTTTTTAATAGCTTCTTTATATCTGTCACTAAAGTCAAGAGTATCTGGGTAACCATAATCTTCCTTAAGCATTTTTAAGAATTCTTGGTTTCCTTGTTCTCTACTTCTTTTATGTCCTTGCTCTGTTTGTGGTTGTTGTTGTGCAGGGTTTTGAACTGTTGGTTGTTGTGTAGTGTTTTGAACTGTTGGTTGTGGTGCTGGATTTTGAACTGTTGGTTGTTGTTGTTGTTTTGGTGCATGCCTGTGTCTGTGTCCATGTGACGATGTAAATGTTTTAGGTAGTCCTGGTGCAGGTGCTTCTCTTGGAGGGTTTGGTGGTATATAAGTTCCACTAGCTAGTATATAAGTTCCACCAGCTGGTATATAAGTTCCACCAGCTGGCACATATGTTCCATCTGCAGCATAATGTCCTACCTGACTTTTCGTTCTTAAGAAAGCATTTACTAGGTCTGTTTTGGTCTGTTGTAACTCTTTTTCTTGACTTTCCACAACAGTTGCTCTAACGGCGTCATAGGCACTTTGAACTGCCTGTCTCGTTGCTGCATCTGTTATTTTCGTCATATTTTGTGCTACTTCTCTTAACTCTTTGTCGAAACCTTCAGACTTCAGTTTCTTTCCAGATGAGAAGTCGTTCACTAGTTTCACCTTACTATGAAGAGCTTCGAAGGCATTCTTAAAGTCAGCATTCATTAAAGCTTCATTTGAACTGTCTTCATCCGCTTGTATTTTTGTCCTTATTGACCCTATAAGTTGGGCTGCTTTAGCGTTGGCTTGGGCATCTAACCAGTCATTATTAGCTTTTATATATTCTGCGCTTTTCATTGCCTTTTGCATGGCTGCGTCGTTATTTTTACTTTCTTGTGCTAAGTTTTCATACTGTACGGTTTGGTTTTGCAACTGTAAAAGTTTTTCTGCCTTTACATTTGCTTCAACTTCTTTTTTATACTCATCGCTATCCATATATGTCTTCAGGGCTTTTTGTTTTATCTCTTCATCTTTCAGTACTTTATATTGAGTAGTATGGTTTTTCAAATTTATAACATCTTGTTCCATTTTTGCTACTTCTGCTGCTTTTTCTGACACTTTTTTCGCATATTCCTCTGTACTTAGTTCTTTCAGTTGTTCTTCTTTCTTCTTTTTCTCTACGTTTAATTCATTGAGTTTCTTTGTGTGTCTGTCATATTCTAGTTTCTTTTCGTTTTCACTTATTTGTTTCTGTATGTCTATGTTTGACTTTTTGACATCTGTTATTTGATTTTTGAGTGAACTCAAATTCATTTGACTTTGAGGGTTATAAGCTGTTCCGTCTGCAGCTCCACCATAGCCTGCCATTTTCGCTAAAAGTGCCGCTCTTAAACCTCCACTCTGTGCACCAATAACTCGGTTTAAAAGCATAGGGTTGCTTGACATTTGTTGCAACATAGTGGGGTCATTCATCATTTGTTGTTGCAACTGTTGTTGTGGTGTCAGTTTTACTATTGGATGTTTCAATGCTCCCTTCCTCTTACGTATATTCTTACGTAGCTTACGTGGCATTTTAAGTGAAGTAAAAAAGCGGTTTTTGATAGATGTTTATATGACACTTTTTGTTCAGCACAAAAAACTACTCGGTCAAAGTGTTGTCAGTTTTGTAAAATAACGGTCCTATCTTGTTTTAAAATGGAGAAAAGGCTTCTCAAAGTATACTTCCTTGGAACGCCTGTAACTTTTCCTGTAGCGACGATAGACCTTTACTTGTCCGGACAAAGTTATACTATTTTGAGTGCTCTACAAAAAAGTCAACGGCTGGTCGGCTGGGGTTCGGTCCTCCTCTTGGGTCTTGGGCAAAATTTCTTATGGGCTAGAGGGCGCAACGCGCCTGGAAGCCCCACTGACCTGACCTGATTTTGGGTAAAAGATTCTCAACGTATTAGAACCCATAATTTATACTCGAAATTTTAAAATCGTGTTTACTTATCATTACCCCCCATATTTGAGTTAAAATAGGGGAAATAATTGAATTGCAAAATTGCCTCACAAAAAATCAATAGTTTGAAATGAATTAGATATGACTATCGTATTGTTAAATTAGGTTAAGATAATGACAAAAGTAACTTTCATCTAAAATTTGTAAATCAAACCTGTAGCAATAGATTTCGTTATTAATTCAAAACTTTATCATTAATCCACACTGATTTATCAAAGATATAGGCCACATCTTTTGAAAACAATAAGATCCCAAAAAGTCAGCCAAAAATTTAGTGTTTTATAGGTTAATGATTCCAGCTTTTTTTTCAAACACGAAAATTTTAATCTAATTATACATTTGCACTGGGCATTATGGATCAGTTTCATGTCCTGAATCAAATCCATTAATATCAATTTCAAACATTCGCTCACTATTTTCAATAATTCTGAAGAAGGTGGTTTTGAAAATAATGCTCTGAAAAAATGTTTATTATTTTTTCGTCATAAACTGTTGATAACGAATCGTTGCAATTGTATAGCTTACAATGAATGGATCAATAACATACTTGGGAAAATTTTCTTATAGACTCATTCAATTAACACCTGAAAATATAATTTGAGAGACAAATATTTCTGAAGTATAAATTCGTAACGTTGATTATTTCTTTAATTTTTACATGAACATAACACATACATATAGTAGAGCATTTTTTAGCTTCTTAACGAAGTTATGATTTGGAATTGTGAGTGATTTCAGAAATTTGAGAGCCGCTTTCTATATATCTAAAATTATTGATGAGCGAAGAGCAGTTTAATGACACCAGTACAGCCAAGCCTAAAAAGATGAGGAAACTATTTTCACCTCAGGAAGATGCTCTTTTAACAAAAATTATGTTCCAACAGCCTTTCGAAACTTGGATTGCTGTTGCAGAGCAACTTCCAGGAATGACTGCTAGGCAATGCCGCGATAGGTGGGTAAACTACTTATCTCCTTCAAACAAGAACGGCCCATGGTCTCACGAGGAAGATCAACTTCTTGCGGAAAAATATATTGAGCATGGGCCTCAATGGACAACAATCGCTAAATTCTTCGATGGAAGAAGCGAGAATAACCTTAAAAATAGATGGTACACTTATGTTAAGGCTAGATTCAATCAGAGTCAAAAATCTAACTTCAATACATTTAAATCTCAAAAGACTGACAAAGTACCAGCACCTTTACCACAAAGACCAGTTAAGGTAGTATCGACTACGGCACCACCAGAAAATTTCGCGATCAAACAAAAGCCGATCCTCCCGCCAATTTCAACATTCGATAATAACTTACCAACGGCAAGTCCAATCGCTAAGTTGGTATTCCCAACAACTGTTAGATTCCGGTCTGAAAGTGTTCAGCCATTTATGCTGCAATAGAGTACTATTTTACCATTTGCTTTGTTTAAATCTGTTTCAATAAACGTATATTTGTATATTTTATTTACCAAGGAAACCAACGCTATTATTCTTTAAGTTTACCATAGTATATAAATCTTTGATTTTCATATTTGGTCAATGAATTACCATATAATGTTAAATTAAATAATTATTTTTATTTCACTTGTTCAGAATCAACTTAATTTAATGCTTCAAGAGTAATGATATCTGTAATTTAGGTGTCGTCAAATTCGGCTCACAATTAAGGATCGATATATCTATCAGATGGTTTTTTCTAATGCTATATTCTCATGGCTTTTAACTTTTCATATTTTCCTAAAGATTCATTATCGAAATGGAAAACATCCATAATAATAACCTTAACTACATGTGCTGATACTGTACTTTGGACAATTCAGCCTGGAATTGATAAATAATTATAAGAAGGATCAAATTTACTAATAAAATTGCATTTCATATTCGGCAAATGAAATGCTAGTGTGAGGATAAATAAAACTTTAATATGTCTTCAAAAGATAACAACTAATTTTATGGACAAGGATATCTTCATATATTTCAAGGCAAATTTTTGCATCATCTTACTTTATCAGTGCATAGTATGCCATATCTATTTCTTTTCAAGATTAGATTTCAAATAATTTTTTTGATAAACAACTATAAATTTTGGAGTGTTTTCGTGACTTAAATATGTAAAACCCTTTCCCGCAAATTCGAATGAATAGTAGACTTTTGGTGGACTTGCAAAATATTTTTTGGAGCTTGTTTTCCACATCTGTAACATTATAAGTTTTTCCACTAATGAATTACAATAAATGTATTATATAGTTAAATGCAACTACATTTATTGTAATTCATTTAATTTTTTAATTTTTATGTGTGAGCAAGATGTTCACTCAAATAAATACTTTGAATTGAGAAGTAAGTATGCATACTACATCGATTTATATAAAACATTATATCAGTTACATTCAGAAAAAGAAGAAGAATTGAACTTGATTTACAAATTGATCAAATCAAATCTTATTGATTCAAAGAAACATGAACCCACAAATATTATATGAGACATTTTAAATATAATACCATACAATTACCGTTATTCAAAGTCATATTTGAAACTTGCGAAACAAATATTATATGATGAATATCATGTAAAAGAGGTCAGAAACATTCAAATTTTTGTTCACTACTTATTTTATATAGAATATGGAATAGAAATAGACTTGCCTGATTTCGAAGGATTTTCAATGACAAATGCAGATTTTCATACAGAAAATATAATTCACAGCACAATTATGCATGATGACAAAGAAATATTCAGCTCATTTATCGAAAGAGAGAGCTTTAATGAATATCAACAACTTGCAAGTTTTTTACTTGAATTATGTTGTTATCATGGAGCGGTAAATTGTTTCAAGTTATTAAGAACTGAATTTGAATATTTAAGAATTACTCAAACCTGTCTTAGGCTTTCATTTTTAGGAAGGAATCAAGAAATATTTAATGAATGTTTGAAATATTAAAAACCAGATAAAGAATGTATGAAATATGCAATCATATCACATATTATCGATTTTGTAACGTACTTGAACAATGAGTTCAATATAGAGATCGATTTAAAACATTGTGGGAATTTCAATAATCTTGAATCATTTCTTGTTTATTTTGATCAAACTAATGATCTTCACAAGTGTTTTGTTTATTCAGCAATGTTTAATATTCTTTGCGAATATTTCCTTTCACTTGGTGCAAATGTCAATGAAAAGAATGATAGTGGACAAACTGCTTTTCATATTTCAGCGCTTATTAATAGTATTAAAATTACTGAACTTTTTATTTCACATGGTGCAAATATCAATGATAAAGATAATGATGGACAAACTGCTCTTCATTATGCAGCACAACATAATAGTAGAGAAACTGCTGAATTTCTTATTTCACATGGCGCAAATATCAATGAAAAGGATAATCAAGGGAACACAGCTCCTCATCTGGTAGCACACAATAATAGTCAAGAAAAACTGAGTTTCTTCTCACATATGGATCAAATTTCAGGAATATAGATAAAGTTGGAGAAATCAATCTTCATTCTGCTGTACGTAATAAGACCAAAGAAATAGCGGAACTTCTTATATCATATGGAGCAAATATCAATGAAAAGGATAATCAAGGAAAAACTGCTCTTCAACATGCAATAATGATAAATAGAAAAGAAATAGTTGAACTTCTTGTTTCACATGGTGCAAATGTCAATTCTTAAAGGAAGGTTTTAAAATTATTGAATAACTTTCTTCGATGAAAAAGTGACTAGGACGATTGAAAATTGTAATAATTTACACTTTTCAAATTTTTACAATTTAATTTTATGATCGATTCTAAAATTGCCATTAATAAGGGTTTCGTTTTGCGAAAAAAACGTACAATACGCAATTTCGCTAAAAAAACATTTAGCTAGCAATTTCGACCTTTGACTCCACTCAAGACGTCACTTTTTTAATTTTGCGGTATCATATTTTTGGAAAATCTTTATAAATATTATATAAAAAGTCTCTTTAATATCTATATTTCATATTTTTATCGATTTTTAAAGTTTTCGCGAAAAGTATTCAATTATTTTTGCTATTTGGTCGGGTAAATATCAGATTTGCGACATTTTCTGATATGATATTCAGATTCTACGTTGATAATAATGCTTATAGAACCCTCTTGCTATTGTGTCAAAATTGCGAAACCGATAGCAAAAATATCATACTTTATAACGTAAATAAGAACTTGACCTATTAAGAAAAGCAGTAATGAAAAGAAAATCTGAAATTCATAAAAATTACAAGTTTCTGATGACAATTAGCTTAATTAAACCAGGTACAAGATTATATAATTGTATTTTCTATCCAATTATCCATATAATATCTTATCCAGAAAAAATAACTTGATCAATACCAAATGATTTTTTAACTAGTAAATAAAGTATTTTCTTTACACACACATTGTATATCATAGTTTTTTTTTTTGGTTTCGCAAAACATCCAAAAACAAATATGCTATAAAAGTGACAATTTTAGCAAAACGAAACCCTTACCATTAATTATTATCCTATTTTAAAAATTTAATGGGGATGGGTGTCAAAAATTTTAATGAAATTAAGCTATCTAGATGCATTTCAGATCAATCTTGTTCTGATGGTATTAATAGCGATCGGATACCTATTAGGAAAATTAAGATATTTTAGCGTAATAGATATTTCTTCTATTCGAAGAACGGTATATTTAATTTCTATACCAGCCATGCTTTTTAAAGAGATAGCAACACATAAACTTGAGGCAAAGGTTTGGTATCCACTTTTAAATTCATTACTTAGCGAAATATCGATTCATGTTTTACTTTTAATCGTTTGCTTTGCTTTTCCATTTAAGGACAAATTTAAGCAGTTTCTTGATGGAATCTTCTCCTTTGCTTATGTTAACTTTGTTTACTTTGCTTGTCCGATGGTCAGAATCTTATGGGGCGCAGAATATCAATACATACCAGTTATCGCCGGAATTGTGCACTTTATCATAGAACCACCAATTCATTCTCTACTTGTAATCAGTAACCATCATCGCGAACAAAATCAACAATCAACTTCCTCAGATGAAGATCAACACGACAATCAGCAATCAGATGATGGCATGGAAATGGATGGTGTTGAACATTCCGAGGGAATACATGAAGATCATGACGAAGAAGAAGAAAAACGTCATCCAACCATCCAAACACAGACAATACCATTATGGAAACAGATTATATTCGTCGTTGTTACACCAATGCTCGTATGTACAATCCTTGGAATTGTTTGGTCCGCCACAGGATTAGTAATTCCAAGTTTTATCCTTACTTTCACTACATTTTTAGAGAATAGTGTTATGGCAACCGGCTTATTTACGATTGGCGTATTTATGTCCGATCATCCTTTCTTTGGATGTAATTGGCTTGAAGTTGGCTCATATTTGATCATTCATTTTATTTTCATGCCACTAATCAGTGCTTTCTGGTCATGGTTAATTGGCTTCGATTCTGTTACAGCAAGAGTTTGTTGCATGATTCACGCTTTACCAACCGGATTAACAGGCTACGTTATGGCAATTAACAGTGGCCATGGTCTCCAAGCATCTTCATTTACTTTCTTTTGGTCAAATATCTTGTGTCTCCCAGTATTTTTAATTTGGATTACTGTTTTCAATGAATTACATCTACTCGCTTAATTAATAAATGTTTTATATCTATCCCATAAAAACTATCCTTTTTCAAATCATAAATATTTTATTTAACTCGAAGATAATCCAGATCTGAATGGAATAATTCATGAATTTATATTATACCTATTAACTTAAGCAGAAATAATGAATTACTTATCAGCTGTTTGATGTTAGTATAAAAGAATCATTATAATTGGCGAAATCAACAATCCTCTACTTAAAAATAATAATAGAGTTATCGCACTATTGTACAAAGAGAGTAAACCTATAATTTTAATCAAATGACTACCAATAATGTATACTTCTTCGGAAGAAAGAAAATTTTATTCAAAGGTTTGAAGGATTTTGACTTTATGAATGGGAAACAAACTACACATCAAATGTTTTTAAATAAAGTTATTTAATTAGGAAACTATCCATTGAGAGCTTTTTTGATTGTAAGATTTGATGTCACTTTTCATTAAAATTATCCACTTAACCAAAATCATTCATATACTGTTCATATCAATCAATTACAGAGTAATTTCTTTTTCTGATAAAAGTGAAGAGTTATCAAAAATGCAATCAGAATTTGGTATTTTAGAATCAACAGTCTAAAATATATTCAAATTTCAAATAAATTCAATATTCTTATTTTTGTTAAAACCGTTCTCGACTGTTATAGACCGAAAATAGATTTTTTCGGTTTTCTCTTCAAATAATTGAAAGAATGATACTATTATATGTTTATTATATTATATAGCATATAATCATGCTATAGCCGAAAATTATAAGTTTTGAGAAGATTGAATATAACACAAATAAATTTGAATGTAAGTTAAATTGCTTGTTGTTTTTCATAGCTATTTAATGAGAAATCCAATATTGCAAAATTCAAATTGAATGATTGAAAGAACAGAAAAAGTCATTCTTTTCAATTTCGAATATGTTTCATTGTATTTATAATTATATGGCAAATAAGATATTTAAACTTGATTTTTGAAGGAAAATTCACAAAATTGAATAAATTCAAATAATTTTTATTCAAAAATAAACTAGTTATTTGAGTTTAATACTAATTATCTATTCAAACTACAAAGTTTGTAATTTAAAATATTTTGTGAGATCAGATTGAATTAATTCAAGGTTCTTTTCAATTAATATTAATGACCATATTACGCATTTTCGAACATTCTAAACCAAATATATAAAAATGGGAGACGAATGTTAAATTTTCTAGACATAAAGAAGTTGTTTACCGAGTTTTAGCTCTTATCTCTAACAAAAAATTAATTTTTAAAAAAATGACCGAATACGTTTCACAGCGAGAAAAAAATAAAAGGCAAGATAGAATTTTCTAGACATAAAGAAGTTGTTTACCGAGTTTTAGCTCTTATCTCTAACAAAAAATTAATTTTAAAAAAAATGACCGAATACGTTTCACAGCGAGAAAAAAATAAAACTGTACACTGATTTTCATTTTCATTTCCAGTCACTTTACTTATTATTTTTTCTTTTTTTCACTTTAATTATAAATTATTTCATAATACGTTTATTTACCTTACCATTTTCTTTATTCTTTTGAATTCCATACTAGACACTTATAGAATATTTTGATTGTTAACGTACTTCATTAGAATGAATCCTTACAAAGGGTATGTCGATCGAATTTACCTAATTGGTATTTCCAATCAGATTGAAGAAGGTAAAATGACATGGGAAGAAGCTTGCACCCATGTTCCCATCGCCCCAACCCTTCAATCAAATGATTTCAAATATTTAGATGTTTCAAAATCTTTTTTACAAAATCAATTTAGCTTACAGAATATCCCATTGCCTAAAGGCAAGAAAGGTCGTAGGGTCAATCCCTACGACCAAATCAAAGCTCTTGCTGTGATACATGACCACTGGGCCTTTCCCTGTGGTCAAACAAAACAATGGAAAAGTTTGAAATTACACCAAATTGATGTATCTTATAGAGAAGTACGCAGATACTTCAAAGAAAATCATTTCACCAAGACGCGATTAGAGCATGCCGGGCCAGAAACAGCAGTAAGATATTGGGCGCTTTCACCCAATCTTATCTGGCACGCAGATGTTCATTATTTTAGTGGTGTTCGTGGCCAGTATATTTATGGCATAATCGACGATTTTAGCCGCAAAGTCCTAGCGTGTATACAAATACCAGATATGCTGGCAGCGACGACAGCGAACTTTGCGGCTTCCGCCTTCATTGAATTTGGCGCCCCTTATTGTTTCTGGACCGACAACGGTTCAGAAAATAGGGGCGCCTTTCAAGATCTACTTGATCTTTGGGGCGTCCAATGGCGACATACAGACTCTCATTCTCCCTACCAAAATGGGAAGATTGAGAGATTCTGGCCGAAATTGGAGCGCTGCCAAAGCATTCAGGCTATTCCTGCCTTTATTTGGGAGTACAATAATAACACACCGCATGAAGATCTCCCAATTAATCCATTAACTGGAACAAATTACACGCCAAATCAAATGTATCAGCTGAAACCGAAATACACAAATGCAGATACAGAAAGGTTGTGGCAAATATGGGATACAGATACAGGCATGACCGCTGTTGACACATTCACAGCATAATAATAAACATAATTTTTTAATTTCATTTTTAACAAGTTTTTTTAAATGTATGTAATGAATAATTCATTAGAATATGATAATGCACATTGTAACAGAATAGAACAATCACCAAATTTTTTTTGAAATTAAAAAATAAAAGTAAAAAGTATAAAGTAATGTAACCAAAAAAGATATTTAAAAGAATTTTGGAAAAAACAGAATAAGGATAATGATATTATTTTAGATACACAATCGATGTACTGAAGAATAATCCGGTAAAATGATGATATAAAATTAGATTATTTTACAAGTAGCTAAAAAAAAAAAAAAAAAAAAAAAAAAAAAAAAAAGGTAGAGGGGCTTCCAGGCACTTCGTGCCTTCTAGCCCTGATGTTGATGTTTAGTATAAATGAAGTTTTTATTCGGAGGACTCTTCTTCTTCCTCCATTGCTTCTGGGAAGAAGCCTTCTTCTGGGTCGAAAACATTATATAATGTGTCGCTTTTCACAAATTATATATGTTTTCATGTTTTGTCACTTTTCTGTCACTTTTCGGGTAAAAACATTTTTATTATATATATAAAATGAATTTTACAAAACCACCGTTACCCTTCTTTGGAAATAAGAGTAGATGTAAAGATATTCTATTGAGAGAACTTAAGAAACTACCGAATGGTCTAACATTTGTAGACTTGTTCGGTGGAAGTTTCTATATATCTCATTTGTGCCATACAATATTTCCTGACTCAAAGATTATATGCAATGACTTCGACAACTATATGGACCGTCTCAAACATATACCAGACACAAACAAAATATTGAAAGAGTTAAAAGAAAAGATACCTATAGGTAAGATGGAACGTATACCATTAGATAAGAAAAATACTGTCAGAGAGGTTTTGAAAAAAGCAGAATATATAGACTGGGATAGTATATCTGCTAGACTATTATATAGTGGTGCTATAAGAGTTCATGACATTGAAACACTTATGTCAAAAGTTTTATATCTTAACTATACAAATGTTTTCAAAGAGGACATAGAAAAATATATTGAGGGTATAGAGTTTGTGAGATGTCATTGGACAGAGTTGTATGAAAAATATAAAGACAAGGAAAATGTTTTCTTTATAGTAGACCCGCCGTTCTTTAACACATGGGATTTTCAATACCAAGTAGACTGGACTTTGAGAGACTCTTTAGAAACTTTAGACGTTTTACATAACCATCCATGCTTTTACTTTACATCCGATAAAAGTGGTTTAGAAACCGTTATGAGATGGTTAGAGGACATACATGACTATGAGTTTAGATATGACAAGATAGAATATGAGAGAGGTCCTATAAACTGGAGAAAGTGTCATAACAAAGAAATTTTACTAGTAAGTAAATGTGGTTTGAAATAGGACTACTTGTTTTAGGTTTTTTCCATTGTGTCATTTATTTATTTGACGTGGCAGAAAGATATAGAGAATATGAAGATGAACCAATGCCTGCAAATGTTCAGCATATGTACTCGTAAGAGATATTTTTATCTAATATTAAATGGACGCACAGAACTTAGCGAATGCACAGCAACCTGGACAACCAAACCCAGAGAATATTCCAAATGAAGTTAGAATACAAACTGCAATGGCAAACTATGGTCAAGTGCCAACAGATGTACAAATGCAAACTGCAATGTCAAATGACGCTGCGTTAGGTTTGCCACCATGGTATGCAAATATGAGATGGAAAGAGTTTTATACAAACCCTGAAGTGGGATATAAACAACTTTATGCAGATGACGCGAACACAGGAGTTGACCCAGAGTATGTTTTCTACCAGAGGAGAAATAGAATGTATGAGCTCCAGTTAAAGAATGCTATGGAACTCAGAAGGAAACGTAAGAGACTAGGTGGACATTAGATTTTTACATATAGTAAAATGGGTTTCTTTGGAAGAATAGGAAACTTCTTTCGAAATGTTGGAAGAGGTATATGGAATGGAATAAAATCTGTCGGAAGAGGAATTTGGAACGGAGTCAAAAATATTGGCAAAAGAGTAGGTCAGTTTGTTGGTATTATACCTAAAGACCCTGAACCAGAAGAACAAGCTCCTGTTATACAACAGCCTGAACCTGCACCACAGTCTAGTTGGCAACCAAATCCAACACCTCAACCGTATTAAAAAATTATATTTTTACCGTTCGATAGTAGTTGTATATGAAACTAAGTTCTAAGTAAAACGCATGGTATAATGGAATTATTCTTTTTCTTCCATCTGTAGTAAACCATACTTGAAAGTCTGAAATACTTCCACTTGGTTCGTATAACTTTGTAGGTTTTTCGTAAAAGTCATTTGCCAAGCATAAAAAAGAGTTTTGTGCACCAGAAAATGAAGCATGAACTATAATAGCATCTTGGTCGAAAACATCTTTAAATAAATATGGTTCATCTCTTGCATATCGACTGTAAATATTTGCTAAAGGAAGTTCGACTTTCTGATTTAACATTCTTTGCAAATAATACCATGACATTGCAGTGAATTCTGTATATATTTGTTCGTCTTTCTTTGGATTGTCTTCGTAGATTTGAAATGACACTTGTGAATTTTGTTTGTCATATACAATTCTCACATAAAGTGTGCTCTCGGTATTTGCATATTCATCAGCATATTTTGCATAACATGAATTTATTTTATCTTCTATATTTTTTAACGCAGTCTGTAGAGAAGATGAAAGGTCAACTTGTATTAGCTCAATTTCTTCCCACATTTTTCGTTTCCCTTCAGATATATAATCTATATGAAACCTTACAATAAATGGAAAACTTTTATCTTCTACAGACACAAACTTCATTCTACGAAAGCCAATAGCTTTTGTGACAGATGGGTCTCTTAACCATCTTAATGGGTAGTCAAAACGATAGCCTTCATGCTTTACGGTCTCTGTCTCAAACTTTTGACCGACATTAGTAAAAAGTTCATCTAATGGTTTAGTTGTAGCAACTCTTGAATTTTCTTTTTCTATTGAAAGCATATTTTATCTAGAATAAAAATGTCGAAAGAAACAGCGTCTATGAGAGAAATACAACACAACCGACAACTCATTATGCAAGCTCTAAATAAGAACACAACAAACTTTTCAAACTATTCTAAGATATCTGAGTCATTGAAAGAAGGAAACTTAAAACTGACAATAAACCCAATGACAGACGAGTTTCTATTTCAAGACAGTAAGAACCATACTGTCTGTGTAAATCCAACAAAAGGAACTTTAAACGAGAAGCCTATAAAAGAACTTCTTTTGAAAGCAGATGTTGACAACAAAGCTGACAAAGAGTATGTCATTGAAAAAGTTCAAGAAGAACATGACAAGCAGATGCAACATATGCAACGAAAGAACATACTCATCCTGAACTAGCAGACAAAACATATGTTGACAATAAAATGTCAAGTGAAGTGACAAGAGCTGAAAACGAATATTCTAAAAAGACTCATACACATACCATTGCAAATATTACAAACTTACAAGAAACCTTAAACAGGAAAAGTGACGTTGGACATACACATACCATTGCAAATATTACAAACTTACAAGAAACCTTAAACAGGAAAAGTGACGTTGGACATACACATACCATTGCAAATATTACAAACTTACAAGAAACCTTAAACAGGAAAAGTGACGTTGGACATACACATACATCTTCTGAAATAACAGACTTAAACGTTAGCCTTGAAAAGAAGGCAGATAAGAACCATACACACGATTTCTTCGCAACTGTTGGTATAGAAAATATTGAAGGAACGGTTGAAGAAACTGGTGGGGATGTATTAAATTGGAAACCTCCTAACTTTCCACAAGGTTTAACATCGGAGGATGACATAACAACGATGAAATACATTAGATGTAGAAATGTCTATGTCATGGAGGATGAAAACAATGTTAAATTCACTGCTCAAGATTTATATGATAAAAAGGCTGACAAAACATATGTTAACGATGAGTTAGATAAAAAAGCTGACAAAACATATGTTAACGATGAGTTATATAAGAAAGCAGACAAAACAGAGCTTCAAACATTAAAGACAGAAATACTTCAAACAGTATATCCTATAGGTTCTATTTACACGTCAATGAACTCTACCAGACCAGTAGTACTTGGTTTTGGAACTTGGACTCAAATAGTCGACAGGTTTTTGTATTGTGCAAACTCTTCAAAGGAAACAGGTGGAAGTAAAACGATTTCAGGTGCAAATTTACCTGCGCACAGTCACTACATAAATTTAAGTACATCTGAAGCAGGTTTGCATAGTCATAGATTTTGGGATTGGTCAGGAATGACAAAAGGTAAAGGATATGATGTTAAAGAGGACGTTAAGTTTGCTATAAATTGTTACTGGAGTAACACTGAGGTAGGAGGAAGCCATACACATCGCGTTTCAGGGTATACGCAAACAACGGGACAAAGTAAAGACTACATGCCACCTTACATGACAGTTTACGCATGGTATAGAATTGCTTAGTCGTCATTTTCAACTTCTTTAGCATATTCGTCAGGAGTTGTCTTATATTTGTTAGGAACTGTCTTTGAAAGTATACCACCTTGAACCTTAACAAGTTTGAAACGAGGTCTGACAATAGTAGTTTTATCTTCTGCTTGCAGTCTGTACATTTGCCATGTTTGCCTAAAACTTCATAATATTCTCTTGTATACTTTCTTCTATTTTTACGAACACGAATGCGAGTACCTGTCGAGTTCCCATTGTTGTCATAGTCAATAGTATTTTCATATGGGTCGCGTTTAGGTATTTCTATTTTACTTTGTCACCTTTCTTAAGTTTGAAGCCTGGCATTCTTTCTTGTTTGTCTCTTTTGACTAAACTATTAAATATATAGTCTTTCTCTAAGTCAGGGTTGTTTTTCATTTCTTCGGGGAGTGGTTTCCCAAACCTTTTTGTTTACGGCTATTGTAAATATTTAAAACTTGTCTCATCTTTGCCATGGAGAAGTGTCTATACTTGTCGTCATATGACATTTCATTTGCTTCACCACCTTGTGGTTGGTTTAAGTCTCTTAAGATTTTTATACAACTGTCAATGACACCAAGAGCAGAATGGTTTTGGTCGACAATGAAATATTGGTTTACATTTTTTGAACGCAGATAGTTTTTTACATCATCTGATTTGAAAGAACTTTCACAGTCAGATGTCAGTTTTGTTGGATGGTATTTGTCAACGAATATTGTCAAAGCAGTTTTCACATCTAAAATATTTTTGGACCATAATGGTATGGCTTCACAGTATCTTGTGTTTTGACCAACAAATATTAGCCAGTATGGAGGTCCATCTTCTCTATACCTCGGAATGTTTTCCAAGATATCCATAAACCAAGCATTTGGTGTTGAACTAAAGATTTTTATCATGAGTGCTTTCTTTGTCGCTTTAGAAACATAGGGGTCCTTGTTTGGATTCGTCATTTTTTAACCCATAAGAAATGGGTTTATTTGGCGCATTAGCAGGAGTTGCATCCAGATTTTTGCCCGCAGTGGGAACAATAGCCAGAGGTGTATTTGGAGTTGGAAGGAAGATTTTGAGTACATTAGGTATACTGAAAGAGAAAGCACAACCTATTATACAAACTGTACAGAAAGGTTGGGATGTAGCACGAGATGCAGCAAATCTTATTCCAAATCCTGAAACAAGAGGAAAAGTTCAAGGATGGATGGACAATGTAGGAAGACAAGCAGGAAACTACTATAACAAAGCAAATGACTACTATAACCAAGCAGGCACTATATGGACCAAGGTGAAAGATTCTTTAACAGAGGATATAACCATGCACAACAATGGGTAAACAACAACCAACCGCAACCGCCTCAAACGTGGGGAATGTAAAATTTTTTACTGAGATGAAATGAACAATACAGCTTTGAGACAAATGGGTTCAAGATGGATTTGTCGACTTCCAGCAGTTACACAACCACGTGTTTGTCAAGTCCTTCCTATACCTCAAGAAGTTTTAGACCGACTTAAAAAACCTAAACAACCAGTTGAAAACAAACCAAACTAAAATTTTTTACTGAGATGAAAATGACCGAAGAAGTTGAAACGGTAGATTTGACACCACAAACAAAAAGTTCAGAACCATTGTCAAAACCTGTCAAAGAACTTACAGATGAAGAGAAAAATTCAATAATAGAAAGTGCCAGGTCTGGAAATACAAACCCTAACTACAAAGTCACTTTTCATAGAAATGGAACGGCTAGTATCTCAAAAAAGAAACAGACTCTCACAAATAAAATATTAAAGTCTGAAGGAGCATTCGAGACAACAGATGGGAAGGTTTACTTCACGGACCAACAGTTCATTATAGAACATCTCATTGACTTAGAGTCGAAATATTCTAAACTTTACAACAAACACAAAAAGTTGAAAGGAAAACAAAAACAGATGGCATATGATATTTATGAAGATGTTGACGACACAACTGTTCAAGCAAGTGAGGTAAAGTCAGGTGAACCGAAAAGTGACGAAAAACAGATAGAAGAAGAAAAACCAAAAACTGAAGATAAACCAAAACCAAAGTTTAGTTTCAATACTAAACCAAGTCAACCTTCATTAGCTGGTATGGGTTGGCGTCAAAGACTTATGGCAGCAGGTGGTTATGTAAAGTAAAGAAAAAAAATATTTTTTTATTTTTATAAAAATGCCCCCATATAGAATGGACAGAAGGTCTGCTAGAATAAAAGCAGAGTTAGAAAGATATGGTTGGAGAGTTTCGAAGAATTTTAAATATAGGAAGGGAAGACCCATAAAAGTCTATGACAAACTGGCTGGTCTTCGCTACGAAATGGATTTGGAAACAGCACGTGCAAATTATCCAAACAGACTAGAGAGGTTAGAAGAAGAACGTCTTATGGACATGCCTTTCGATGTTTCTGAGCCTCAAGTTGAAGGACACGACGGCTTTGCCAGATTCTACTGGAAACATGACGAACAATTGCATCCTTTGAGAAGGAAAAAAGGTAGTGCAGAGGATGGTCATGCTCCCATGGAAAGAACAAGATATGCATATGAGAAGTATCGTGAAGTTAGAAGTCAAATTACATCTGGTCGAACCTTTACAGTAAACTTTGACGAAGGAAAGAACAAAGAAGGCTTCATGGGTGTACTTGCTGCAATTCAAGACGGAAATAAGAAAGGATACAATCTCAGACTAACCGTAAAAGATTTAGATGGTCACATTTACTATGCACATGGCAATGTCACAACAGCTGCAATGCTTCTTGACGCTTTCAAGACTACAAAGAGAGAACAAATGGTTGACTCCGACTCAGACATTTTGAATGCAATTGAAGGAATTGCAAGTGTCAAGTTCGAATGGTACCAACCTAACCCTCAAGCAGTCAGACAACATGCTGGATACTTCCTGTTCATAAATAAGTCTGACATTGACTTGACAAGGTATGGAATTTACAATTCAATTGAAACAATTGTCAATGAACCTTGTATTCTTACATGTCTCAGGAACTCTGGTCTTGTTACAGAAGAGAAGATGAAGTATCTTGAGTCATGTGTGAAGACAAGGTACATTCTCAGAGGTCAATTGGCAAAAATTGCACCGTTGGCAAATGTCAATATCCGAGTCAGCATACCTACAGCTAAAGGTTCTTCACATGACGACTATGTTGTTGACAAAGACTTACCATGGTTGAAGATTGTAATTGTCCACAACCACTTCATGTTGAACGAAAGTCTTACAAACCCATTGTTCGGAAAAGGCAAGTGCAACATTGTCAGAGCTGTTAACATTCTTTTCGAGAAAGGTTTGTTGGAACCGATTCCAGATGACAAGCTGACAGAAAGTTTTGTACCAAAAGACGAAACAAACTTTTCACTGTTAGCAAGACCAAAAGTTGTTCCAGACAAAGTTCTAGTACAAAAGAAGTACACAGTTCCAAAAGGAGTTGGATTGTTCGGATACCAACCTGAACCAGAAGAACTTCCAATGAGGTTGCAAGAACTTCAAGATGCTATAAACAAACTCCCATTGAGACATCCGATTGACGTCAAATTGTATTGGAGAGCATCAGAGTTAGGTCAGAAGGTTTTATATGAAACAGGTTGCTTCGACGATGTTTATGAGATAACAGGAGAAGTTTCTCAGAAGATAAGAGACTCACTTGAATTTCCACAAACTGGACCAATTGGTTGCGACAAGTTCGACTCAAACGAAAAGATATACTATGTCGACCTTAACGCTGCGTACATGAGGTTTGTCCAATATATCCCGACTGGAATTCCAAACGAAGATGGTGAGTTCCCAGGAAGGAACTATACAGTTGGAAAAGTCATACAACAACTGTATGATATTAGGAAAGCTTCAAACCCCAAACTTGCAATGACACTCAAATTGCTTATGAATTCGACATGGGGATATTCCATAAAGAAACCTCAAGAGATGAAGAGTAAACATTATGAGAAGGTCGACAACTTTGTTGAAAGGTTTTCTCCTTTTGTTTTGAAGTACGAATTCACTCAAGGTCAAAGTGGCTTAGTAACCACATTAAAACCTATTGTCGAACATTGGTCTTACCCTCAGTTCGCAAAGGCAGTCCTTGACAACTACAACAAATTCTTCTCCGAAGTCAAATCCAAAGTGAAGGTTTACTATGAGAACATTGACGCACTCATGACGAACGAAGAAGGGTACAACAAACTCATTGAAATGGGCATGGTCGGTGAAAAGATGGGTCAATTCAAATTGGACAAAATTTTCACCGAAGTTCATGTAATATCGAAAAGGAAGTACTGGGGTGTTAAAGAAGATGGTGAAATAGTTAAACATTGCATGAAATAAAAAATTTTTATTCGAATTTGAATCGGACAGGTCGAGTTACACCATTCTTGGTCTCAAACTCATATATAACCTGTTTGTCTGTATTTTCGTCGACTATGGCACGAGACACGAACATTGACCAAACGGACAAAAAGTGTCATTTCGGATGGTCAGCAGCCAATCGCATTCGAGCACTTCGAAGAAGCCTTACGTTCCAAGGAGAGGGTGTCTGGTGCAAGGCAGAGGTCATGAGACTCTACGAGCAGTACATCCTCAATGCCTGGGAGGACAAATCGTCCTTGGATTGGCAATTCTACCAACTCCTCTGGGACGACCTCCTACGCAACTGGGATGACGAAAGAGTCCAATTCAAGGTCGGGAACTAATTTTGCAAATTGACCTTAATTTCACATACTTATCCAAATAAACACCTAAATTTACTGGGGTTTCCCCCTAAAATAAAATTTTTTTACTCTTAGAACCACTCGAGGTTCTCCTTACGGTTGTTGAGCTTGTCACCGTCAATGTGTCTGACCTTCGTCTTCTTGCCTGGATTTGGAACCCATTGAATTGCGACAAGCTTGCCCATGGAATTGAACCGCGATTCCGAAGGGTAAGGTTCAAGTGTCCCAAGTTGTTGAGGACTGGGGTAAGAACCTTGCCTGTCTCCTTGTTGCGGATTTGGTATGGGTAGGGTTGGGAAATTTCGTAAGTGTCATCGGCAACAAGGGTTGCCCAAACTTCCTCTTCTTCGTGTTTCTCTTCTTCCTCTTCTTCCTCTTCCTCTTCTTCGTGTTTCTCTTCTTCCTCGACAATTCCTTCTTCAATTCTGTGTTCACGAATTACGGTGTTGGAGGTTCTGTCCTTTCCGAGTACCTTCCAGATGGTCTATCTCTTCGAAGAAACGGTAGATGAGTCTGGCAAGGTCTCGGTTCTCTCTCGCGTAAATGCGCAAGGTTTCCGTCAAATCATTCAGGACTTTCTCATTGGAAGCTTGGTTCATGAGGAACTCACCTTTAAGTCCCTTCATCTCTTCCATAAGACTACTTTGGAGAGTCTTAACGGTGTTTGTCAGATGAGCTTTCAAATTCAAAATTTGAATTTGAACTGGGCGCTTGTCTGGCAACATTGAAAGGACATCTGCCATTGTGTTCGGCTTCGGTGCTTGTTCGGACATCGAAAAAATGAAGTGGTTTGAGAATGACGGTTTTACTTCAAAAAGCTTGTTATGACGGTTAAGTCATACAACAAGTTTAAAATAATATCTTGTTCTTCTTCTGAACGTTTGTTGTCTCTTCCGATAAAAGTTTCGAACATGAGAACCAAAAAACGTTTTTTGAGATTGCGGAAGAGTTCAGGCAAACGTTCATATTCTGGATATGTTGGGAGCAGTTCAAAACATCTGAGCTGACTTTCGGACAAAATTGGGACAATGTCAGAAAATTCATCTTTGGTCGGACTGCTTGAAGGTAAGTCCCTTACATGTAAGTAGCTCTGGTAAAGTCTTCTCATTTCTGCTAACTTTTGGAGTATAGCTTCGTAGTTTAGAAGTTTAATTTTAATTGTCTTATTCCACTCTTTACTTCTAAACGGTAACTATCCATGAGGTCAAGAGTAGCTTTGGTAGCTTTAAGTGGAGCTATCTGTTCCTTGACTCCTGCAATTTTGGTTGCAATTGTGGTTTGAGCTCCTTCAAGTTCGCCGTCTATGTCGTTCTCAACGCCTTCAACCATGGCTTGAAACTCTTCATCGGTCCATTGAGATTGGTGTGGGACGAATTTAACTTGCTTCATTCAAAAAATGAAAAAAATGTTTTTACTCTAAACGTTAAGGTTTACTGAACTGGTTGGATGTCGCCTTCACAGGTTATGTAGAACGGCTGACCCGAGAAGTGAAGGAGACCCTTGAGAATTTGGCTCATTCTTGGGAAAGGGTTCTCTCTGGTTGGAAGTTGTATCCAAGGACGCTTGGCAAAGAACTTGAGAAGAGCTTCTTTCTTTGCTTGCTTTATGTCGTCGTAGGCTGTCCCGTCTGGTATTTGAATTGGAATTCCAGTCGAAGTCTCGAGATTCAAGGCAGCCCTTCCCGTTATCCAACAGTTAACAAGCTTGCCTTTTACATTCTGCCTGAGGAAGTCTTTAACAAGCTCGTTAATTTCAATTAGGTAAATTGCCTCGTCGGTCGGTTCGACCTCGACCATTGCTACTGTCAGAAAAAGTACTGCTACTGTCAGTAAAAGTACTGCTACTGTCAGTAAAAGTACTGCTACTGTCAGAAAAAGTACTGCTACTGTCAGTAGCAGTACTGCTAGGAGCAGTAAAAGTACTGCTAGGAGCAGTAAAAAGGAAAATTTGAGAGGGTTTTCGACGATAAAGTACTGCTACTGTCAGTAAAAGTACTGCTACTGTCAGAAAAAGTACTGCTACTGTCAGAAAAAGTACTGCTACTGTCAGTAAAAGTACTGCTACTGTCAGTAGCAGTACTGCTAGGAGCAGAGATTTTTATCGTTGTGGTCCGACGGTTAAGCCACAAACGAATGTCCGACGTCCCACCAACCGAGCCCATTCCCAAACCAGAAGAACCTAAAGCACCAGCCCCTGCACCTCAGTTCCAGCAAGTACCTCCACCAAATTACTACCAATTTCCACCTCAAGGTTACTACCAATTTCCACTACAAGGCTTCCCGAACTACCCTCCTCAGCCTATGCCTTACTTCCCCAACCCTTGGTTGTTCCAGCAAGCTCCACCCCAGCAATTCCAATCTCAATCCCAATCGAAGAGAGACCAAGAGTTCGAGGAAGGTCTGAACCGCTTACGCAAAGAGTATGCTACTACCCCAATGGAAGAAGACAGGCTCTCACTCTCTTCCCTCAAATCGACCAATTCGACTCGTACCACAGATTCGGTCAAAGACAGAGACGACTACCTCAAGCAGTCTGAGAGACTCTTCATCCTACAACCATTTACAGTTGGAGCTCTCAAGAACATGCGCAATTACGAAGGTCAAACACCAGCTGGAGACCGTAAAACAGACGTACTCGCAAGAGCAGTCCAACTGGTCAAGACAAAGACCGAGATAGTCGACTTCATTCTTGCAGCTTGCCCATACAAGTAAAAAAATAAACAATTACGAGTTAAACTTTTATTCTTTCTTTTCTGAGTTGTTTAGAGCTGGTTTCTCTTGTAGGAACCTTTCGTACTCTTCCATGGTCATGTAATTGCGAATTTGGTACGCAATTCCAGGTTCGTTGTTTTTGAACCTTACGTATGTAACGCTTCCATCTTCCTCAGGGAAGTAAGCTGCTAACATCTGACCAAGTTTTCTCGGTGACTCGGAGCTCATAAAAATGTCACTTTTTAAACGTTAAGTTTTTAGTCTTATTTTACCCTTTGTTTACCCTTTGTTTGTCAAGGTAGTATTGGAGTGCAATTTCTCCAAATTCTCTGTGTCGGAGTTCTTCAGCATTTTCCAAGGTGTACCTGGAGAACTCAAAGAAGTTGTCAAGAAGATACTGCCATGCTGCTCTTCTGAGTTCGTCGGTATTTTGGAAGTGTTGCACCTTCGAGTCTTCTGACATGAAAAAAATGACACTTTTTCAGCAAAAATAATGTTTATGTTAGAATGTTAGATCTAACATGTTTTCTAACACGTTTTCTAACATGGTCTAAAACTCTTGAATTTTCAAGAGTTTTCCCGAAATAAAAAATAAAGTTGGTTTTTTTAAAAAAATATTTTTTTATTTTTATTGTAAGAACATGTTAGCAACTACAGCACCAAACTCGCTAGTTATGAATCCAACATCTATGTTAGTAGAGATGAAAAGCTTCATTCCTTCTTCATATACTTTCGAAACAAAAATCCAGAAGATAAAGCAAGAACTTTTAACAAGTAATTTAGACTGTAGTGCGAAAGATGAAACAAATGAACAGTATCTTTATGAAATGCAGGACATTATTGACCATTTACCCAAATTGCCTGAAATCCAACAACAAAAACTAACCATTCCCGAATTTGACGAAATAGAAGTCAAAGCAACTGACTCAGTAGAAATAAAGAAGTTCATACGAAAGGTAAACTATGAGTTTCTAGGATTTCATTGCAACCATAAGGTTATGGACAAAGATTGCGACATGGTATATAAGAACATCTCTGACCTTTACAAATCCGAAGAATTTAAGACCTACGACAACTTTGTTTCGTTAGTTGCAAAATGTGTTTGGGAAATAAGAGATAAAGATAGAAGAGGCAAAGTATGGAACGAACAAATAAGACCCGCTATGTTTGAGTTAAAGAAAACCATTGACGCCTTAGTTGTTTTAGCAGGTAAGGTTTCAGAATATAACGCAAAAATGAACCCGCAATGTTCAAAATGTAAAGCAGCAATGAGGAAATATAACTACTCCGTCAAAGAGATAGAACGTATGCGAAACGACTATGCAGACTTAAAGAAAGAAGCAGAAAAGCCAGCAGAAGATAAAATGAACATGTTAGCATTTCTGAACAAAAACTATCCAACTGCTGACGATTTCCTTCTATCTGACGTCAAGAAGAAGTATAAAGAAACTTTCGGTATCGTTAAAACTTTTGACATACTGACAGAAGAAATAGAAGCTACGAAATTGTTTAGAGTCATGAACCATCGCAACATATACCATGTAAAACGCTTGTAAATAGTTATGTTAGAAAACATGTTAGAAAACATGTTAGATCTAACATTCTAACATAAACATTATTTTTGCTGAATTCCGTATGAAATTTCATGAATTTCCTCATATGCTTGCTTCTCTCGGAAAACCGAGAGAAGAACAGCGAGTAGTGAAAAAACCCTGGTCGCCAAAACTCTTTATTTTTCAAGCTTGACTTTTTACAATTTGAACTTTGTTTGCGTAGATATGAATTCTGAAAGAAGTATGAGGGTCTTGTATGACTTTGTACTTCTCCCATAGTTCATGTCTGTCAAACTTACCTGCCATGGACTCTTTCATAAGTTCCATGAAATCGTCTTCGGACAATCCAGGGAAAAGTATAATGTCAGTAAGTATTCTTTTAACATCCTTACTTAAACTCTTTGCTGTCTGTACACAAATGACAACTGAGATGTTAAAGTGTCTGAGCTTCTTAAGAATTCGACACATATCTTGTTCTCTGTTCTTAAGCAAAGGATGAGAGGCGAAATCATCTAAGATAAGAAGACACCTATGAGGGTATGTCTTCCAATCGTAAGATTGCAATTTCTTCGAAATGTATTCTATCTCTTTCTGTTTGTTTCTGAAGTGTTTCTTCTCTAATATTCTCTGCATTTCCTCATTAGGGTCTTTGAACTTAGAATTTATATACTCATTTATAGCATTATACTTCAAAACTCTTCTTTGGTACTTCTTTATCCAATCTAACAACTCAGTATCCTTTATACATACTAACTTAGACTTCTTTATAATATCTTTGAACGAATTGACGGTTTGGTCAAATTGACCAGAAGTACTACAAATGACTACTAACTCATAGAATGGGTTCTTCTCATCTAGTTCTTGTTGTTGTGCAGCCATTTTAAGATAAGTGAAAGTCTTACCCGACCCAGGCGGTGCGATTAGACCTGTTATACCATTCTGAGCAAATAAGAACTTGTCATGTATGGGTTTTATCTGAGCATTTTCCAACTTCCTCTTGTTCTTGTTTAAAACATTCTCAAATTTCTTGTCAATGTCAGCAAACTTTTTTTCTAACATATTTTTAGAAAAATTAAAATTTTTATCTTTTTGAAAATGTCTAGCGATTTCGCTATCTATATTCGAGACAAGCTTTTTGACTCTAAAACTTCTGTCGACCATAAAATCTTACATAGTGTAAACAAGAAAGGTGAATTTGTTCTAAAGTTCTGTTTCTGGGAATATGACAAGAACCATAAAACATTAAGCAGAGAAGTCTTTAAGTTTGTCAATGACAGACTTGTTGACAGAGATGACGCCGATTGGAAAGATGAAGTCCAACAAAAGTTCTTAGAATGCAAAGAAGACACATGCGCTGTTCTTGAAGATGAAATAGAAAACAGAATAGATGAGCTATTAAAGGACAAAGAACTTTTACATAAATATGGTTGCGCCAAATTTGACATAACTCCACCAGAGAAGAAGAAGAAGAGAGAAAAGAAAGAAAAGAAAGTAGAAGAAAAGAAAGTAGAAGAAGAGAAGAAAGAACCAGAGCCAGAGAAGAAGAAATTTGACATGTAAAAATAAAATTTTATTTTTAGAACATTTCTGGGTCAATGTCAATGTTCTCTTCCTCTTTAGGGGCAAACACTGGCTTAGACTCTAAAATCTTCTTACCCAATTTACCTTGAACTTCAACTATCTTAGACTCATAATATTCATAGTCGTCTGCTTTCTTTGGTTCATAAGGTATAACAAGTTTGTATGCTTTGCCTTCTTTAAGGTTTGAAAACCTTCTGTCAAAATTTTCTTTGACTGCTAACAAACCTTCTATGTCTAAGTCTTCAAATTTCGCACCATTTTTAGTCACAATAGCAAACTTAACTGGTTCGATGTTCCAAACTTTGTCAAATGTAGACTTTTCAAAATGGTAGAAGTAAACATTCAAATAAGCGAATGGGTCTAGTTCTTCTTTGACTTCTGTCATGTACTTGTTGACTGAAATATATTTCGTCATCTTTTCTATCGGATAAAAAAATATTTTTTTTAAATTTACTCAGAAAAATTTTTCTTTGTATATACGCCGTTCTGTATGTCTAAAAGACTTTTGACATTTGCCAAGAATGTTCGTTTAGACGCTGCCATATAACCATACTCTTGACAATACTGTTTATACGAGTCGTACAATGACCTTTCATCTAAACACTCAAAGTTAGTCTCATCTATAAACAGTTCATATACACTCTTGTTTGCTTCTAACAATGTTTGTCTTTCTTCGGTATGTGGAATTTGTCTTGGATTGAACTTTGAAATATCTAATGTCATGAAATATGAGAACAAGTGGTTGTAAAAGTTAGGTGTCAAAGTTTCTGCTAAGTCGTCAAAATATTCTGTATCTTGCATATGAGCTTCTGACGTTCTGACAACTACATATCTTCTGTCAGAACTTTCTAACTTCATCGGAACAACATTGTTTGAAACCATGATGAAATTTGCAACATTTTCACAAACTCTTTGGTCTTTATATTTTCTTTCAACAACTCCAACTTTGTCTGTTATAAGACTCTTCAAAGCATCTGAGTTTAAAACCTTTGTTGTATCTATACTTTGAAGTTCGTTACATACTATAAGTTTCATATTCTCTATTGAAGAGTTAAATTTACCGCAGATGTTTTCTAAGTTTGTCATATTAGGGTTCGAATAGCCCTCTAACAGTTTGCATAAGATATCTGTAAAGAAAGTGTTCTTACCTGTTCCTTGTTTTCCAATTATAATGAGAGCAGTTTCATTTTTAGCACTTGGATGTTGTAAGATGTTTGCAAACCAACATAAGATATACTCATAGACTCTTTCGTTTCCATTGCATATAATTTCTTTGACATGGTCTAACCAAGCTTCTATAACATTTTCTTTCCATTCTACTTGTTCGTATTTATATCCAGTGAAGATAGAATAGAAGTTTGGAGATGGTGTATAAAACTTTATACCTCGAACTGAAAAATCTTCTAACTTTGACAATAAGATATCCCAAGCATCTAACATCTTCATTCCAACTTGTACAACTTTTATTTTCTTAAGTTTCTGTCTACATTCTTGTTCAGACACTATGGTTGCTCTTGGTTTGTTAAAGACAACATCCCATTCTTTCATAACATAACATTCTGGGGCAGAGTCGACATAAATGACTAAACGTTTCAAATTCTCGACTGCTTTGTTATAGTCTCTAAATGGACACATATTTCTGAACGCTTGGAAGTCATAAAAATCTGAAACGTCTATTCTGTACATTTTTATAAAAATAAAAAAAATATTTTTTTATTCTTGACTTTTTGTTGCATTTGTTCCATTTGTTGCATTTGTTGTTCTTGAGCTATTTGTTGTTGAAGTTGTTCTTGTAGTACAATACTTTCACCAGTTGCATCTTCCAATTCGAAACTTTCTGCCGTCATTGACAAATACATAGGACATAAAAAGTTTTACAGGAACAAAGTTTGCGTCAACTAAGGTTAAGTTTATGTTTGCTAAAGTGTTTGAGTTTACTAAAGCTGAAACTCTGCATTCGAATGAACAATAGGCAAACCAGCAGAGAAAGTGTTGTTTATACGCATGCATGAGTATCTTTTGGTCATAGTAGTTTCTGTCGACATTCGAATAGCACTTTGAACCTAAGTTTGAAACAATATATAAAATAGGTGTACTTAAAGTCAATGGAACGGATAGACCTTGTATGACACCTTTTCCTGTTATAGGAAACTGTTGGTAGTAAAAACCAGATATAAGTTTTGTATTATAGCTCATATCGTTTATACTAAACTCAGTCGGACATCCAAACATAATGAAACCTGCTCTAGTTGCAGCACATGTTACATCCGTCCTTAAAGTATTAAATAAGTCAACAAAACCTGTTGGTGGTATATCTGAGTAAGTATCTTCAAAGAAGTATTTTTTACCATTCACAACAATAAAATCTTCTGGTGTAAAAGAGCAAAACAGGCTTTAGTCGTCATCGTGTTAAGGTCAGTTTACAATATCGTCCTTGAGGACTTTGTAAGTTTGTTGTTATAGAATTATATGACTCAGGTTTTTAGTCGTAATAGTATAAACCACTATGTCTTCTGCCATTTACTTAGCAACTAAATTTTAATGAAATGTTGTGGTCGTCAAATATTTTTATGACGTCTGGGAAACTATATTTTAAGTTCAACGTTTCACCTCCTTTCATAACGTATATCTTGTCAATGACATTATATGAAACACCACAGCAACTAACGTCGGGTTCTATTTCTTTGATGTTTATATCGTCTGCCTCTGTCAAAAGTTTCAATAGTTCTTTCAAAACTTCATGAGGTGCGATGACATATGAGTTCACTTTTACAGGGTTGTGCTCAACCAAGTTAACATTATACCCAAAGCCTGACAAATCTTCTCCTGAGTTTTAAGTTTGTCTTTAAGTTGTTGGTAGTCGTTTCGAATATCTGCAACAGAACTTAAGTCTCTGCTAACTTCAGGGTATGTTGGTTGTTCTTTTACAGGAACTATTGTTATACCATCTTCGTCTTCGTATGGTTTCCCCACTTCAACATCTCTTTCTTTGACATTGACAACAACACTTTGACTGTTTGTTTGAGTTGGTGAATTTAACTTCACATTCTGCCATCGCCATTAAACCTTTTGAAACACTTACGCTTCTATTTTTCGGAAATGACATTTTACTTAGAATAAAAAGATGGACGTATTTGAGTATCTCTTCGAATTGAAGCAAACAAAGTTTACACACACAAACAATACAAGTTCATTGACAGAGTAGTTCTTTACACAAACAATGGAAAATGTTATAGAATAGCAGTCTTTGCTGAACCAAAATATTTCATAAAGCAAAGAAAGTTGGTATAACTGAATGGTGAAAGTTCTTGAAGCAGACAAAAATATAACAACAAAACTTACAGATATTTCTAAAGGTAAGTTTATAATACAATTTTATGTCAAAACTGGCGTACTGTCAATATTTGACGGAGAGAAGTCAGTTCAAGAACAACTTACTGACCTGCTGCCAAAATCTGCTCGATGGAAGCTGTCGTTATACCAATCTGAGGAGCCCCAGCAGGTTTCATCGAACGAATCTTCAAAAGAGCATCTTCCGTGAAAAGTGCTATTGGTTTTGTAAACTTCTTTGCTTTCAATTCATCTGGACCGTCTCTGTCACCAGTATATTGTATTTGAACTGTACCAACAGTTGAAATACCACCCATAAAGTCTTCTGAGTCAGCAATGGAATGCCAAGCCAAAAGTTTGAACGGTCTCCATTTGTATATTGAGTTTTTTGACCTCCTGTATGAGTCCATACTTTCACATATGGCATAATAGAACTTTGCATTTCAGGGTTAATGGTTGTTGTGAAGTTGTTGTTAAAGTTCATAGCATCTAATGTCAAGTTGTATGACCTCATATCCTCAACTGTAGAATATTCTTCTCTTGGATAATATTTGCCATCTATGTTTATATGATATTTAATACCAGGGTTGTAGAAGCAAGAATAGTCATTTATAGTTCGTCTGAACAGTACAAACATAGTATCTGCATGTTTCATTGCAGTTGTTAAGGCAATATCTGTTCTTGCACCTGGGTCAGCACTTTGGTTTCCAACTTCACCTGCAAAGTCTTTGACAGATATTTGGTGTATAGGGAACATAAGTGGAACTGCAATATATTTGGCAGCTAAAGCATTTGAAATATCTGGGTCCAACATATAGACTGCAAGTCTGCTTTCTATTCTCTTGCATTCAAATTTTTCGCATGTGAACTTAACTGGGTCCCAAGCAGTTCCAGCAGCATTGAAATAATAGTTTACTTCAGTGTTGAGGTTTGAGAAACCAAAGTCTAAGTCAACTTTGTCTTTGCAA